GCAGTAGAAATCCGAACACGTTGCGCAGAGAAAGCTTTGACTCAGACATTCTGCGTATACGACGCACAATTTTTAAGTTTGTACGCTACACCTAGAAGTTAAACCGAGATTTTGAACGATATGTACTTAGTTTTCTGTTTTGCACAACCGTTGATGAAACTTTTGCTGTGCAAGGTGCACGGCAACCCGTATCAGCAGAGTTACCAACCATTAATGATTATAAATGTAGTACTAGGTATAGTAAGGCTTATAAAAAATTTGCCATGTTTGAAAGATGAGAAAGAGTTTGTTTGTTGCACCCAGGAGTAAAACCGAGCGCTTTTTCACTTGAAATACTTAGTTTCTTTTATATTTCAACATATATCTAGGATAAAGCTTAATCAAATTGATTCTTATATAAAAATTTACTTTATTCGATCGTTAGGCTATATGTACAAATTGACGTGAGGCTAGGGTCTCAAGCATAGGAAGAAAGTTTTTCTACAGGGTTTTTCACCGCCAACATTGGTTTTACTACTTAAATTTTTCTATTCTATTGTAAATACACATAATGAAAGTTCTGTGCTGCATGTTGCTCAATTGCACAATTGTATAAGGTGTATGTACGGTAGATATCACGAAATAACACCCCTTGACCACGCTGGGTCTCACACATAATTTAGATTGATAAGACATTACACAACTTTTTGCACCTTATAGGACTGCACTATCGCTTCGGAAGTCTTTTATGTTGTGCAGAGCTGATTTGGCGATTTTATAATCATACCAAACATTGCTCTTCTTGACCACTGTAAACTGGTGAAAATTTGGCAGCTTCTTCCACTTTGATTTCGAATCTAGACTGTGTTTGATAGTGTTCATTCAGTTTGATCCCATACCAGTTGCATGAAAATACAGTAGAAAATGGTGTGTGTACGGAATGCCAGCTTCAATGACTCCTCATTTCTTCATTTCGTCTGCCACGCAACTCCTGTGCCATGTATTTCGTCCGATCTACCCTCGTCACCGTTTTGTTCGCACGTACTTGCATTGGCACACCTGACGAAGTGATTCAACAAGGAAATCCAAATTTGAATGTTAATCCTGTAAATGTGAAAGCAAGTTCTGCATCTCGACTAACAAGTGGCCTGAGAATAAATGACGCTAGCGACGATAAAGCTGGCCTGGCAATTGGCTTGGGTTTGTGATCAGCCATGCTGATATTCTGGATTTTGTGAGCCAGATTAATAATGCTAATTTTATATTTTGAGATCCTATGATTTTATAATTCAGGCCATAACAAAGTAATAAAGACAGAGTTCCGAAAACGCCCGCGGGCAGAGCCTTTCTTCGTCTCTAGCACACGGTGCAACTTCGGACAGCACGTCCGCGGCTTCACGAAAAGCGCAACCCAAACTTTTGGTAACCGAGTACCGCGCAGCGCATTATCAGGGACAGGTTCGCATGACCATGAACACAGACGCGATGTCTACTCCCAACCTCACCTCCCGACTCAGGTCGCTCATGGTAAGACCATCAACGGCAACGATTGATAGGATTTTCAGCTCTGGATGATATAGGTCGAGATGGCCATATTATTCGCCATGCTACAGTCCGAGCAACAGCGCGTGGCGCTAGCTATCCCCAAGCACGGTGGTCGAGCGCGAGAATGGGCACTAACTTGCGGTGTTTCGGTTGAAGCGGCATTCCTCTCCTGAAAGGAGCTGAAGCGTCAGCTTTTGGGAGTATTCTCACCGCCTTGCTAGGCATCGTGCGTGCGATCGCGTTTCCTCGCCGCCCGACAAGGCAAGAAGAAATTGGTGGACTTTGTCCAAGATTTGACAGCTCTCATTGCCAGGATGACAGCCGGTCCTCTCCCCGAGGTGGTTGTATTGACCGTCTTTATAGAAGGCCTCTACACTAACGTGACCAGAATGGAAGTCTTCCATGTGCATTTGTCCTTTCCCGAAAAGCGGTGAATGTAGCACTGAATGCCGAATTTAACTTCGAGTCGGCAAGACCTGGTGCGAACACTTCGGACTGTTGTCCCCTGCGCATGGCGCGTACAGGTTCGTCGAGCCGACGTCTTGCTTCTAACCAGTCTGGTTTGTCACGGGGAACTGACAAAACCTAGTAGGCGCAGGGCGCATTGCTGGGGGATGTCTCGGATCTCGTCCGACCATGGCGCTCTTGGCATGCAATTACTGCTTCAAAACGTGAGCAGTACTCAGTGGATCACGTGCCACTCCGAGGCCCACAAGGACCTTCGGCACAGTGACACAAGTCCCCGTTGCTAAGCGAACAGTGACGATGTCACTCAACCGCGTTTTCAGTGCTTCAGCATACAGTTGACTTCCTTCGATCATGGAGCGTCGCGCATAATTGCCCGACGCACTAAAATCGATAAGGATCTGCCATGGCTTCTCAAAGCCCTTCACGGTCGCTTTTACGACCGTCTTGCATACAGGATCCGCGTTCAAGATTACAGCACTCTTCGGGGTAGGCCCTCTAACTCAATTCGGGCGAGGCCCTAGTGATGCGCATGAGCTATTGGGGTAGCACGTAATCCACTGAGCGCTGCTTACGGTTTGAAGCAATTCTGCATGCCAGAAGTGGCATAGTCAGACGAGGTTCGAGGCATTCTTAGCAAGGCCCTAATGATGCCCGAGGATTGGCACATTATTCACTCGACGAAGACTGCGGAATTAGCAGCTCTTTGTCGGATGTCGTTAATAACATTAAGGCTCCGATGGAGCAGGGAGTAGGGACGCTGTGCATGCTCCCACAGGTCTCAATGAAACGTAAAACCTTTTCAGAGGAGACAGTGATGTCGTATGTTATCTGCAGAACGCAGGGCGTCGACCCTAACCCAGGGTGTGTCTACCATAGCCGGTTGCGCACAGATATATACCCTTGTCAACGGTATGACGGGATAAGAAGAAGGCAACATCGCTCTCGCGGCTATTCCTGCGGTGAATGCTTTTCTTCAGCTGGACAAAATGTTCTTTGAATAGTTTGGCGGTGTCTTTAACGCAGGCGATTCGGCCGAAGTGGTCATTATACGACCGGACGAGGAGATTAGCTCGCCGTCGCTTCTGGATGAAGCTGTCCTGGATGACACCAAGAGGGTGTCGAACACACGAAGTGGATTGTCGATGTTGAAGGATCCCTCGAATCCGTACCATGCTTTGGTAAGGAGATTTTAAGTCGTCGTCTCGAAAGACCTGCCTTCGGTCCTACCTCCAGACCGAAGTGTGCGCCACGAGATCGGCCTGGATCCAGATTCCAAATACTGCGTAACACGCCGAAGGCCTCTGCCCAAGGAGCAGTGCGACGTCATTGACGTCTTCTTTCGTGCGAAGCACGACGCAAATTTGGTGCGTGAGATCAAGTCTCCTCATTCGACACCCACGTTCTGTGTTCGGAGGCTGAACGGCAACTAGCGAATCGTTTACGCTTACAATAATTTCAACGCCGCCTCCATTCCGGCACAGATGATGATACGTAGGAATGGTGTTCTCCATAACAACATGATTGGCTGTCCAAAGTACAGTGTACTCGACTTGGTCGATTTTTATTACCAATTGCTCATGATAAGAGTGATATTCCGCTGGCAGCGGTAAGCACTCCAAGCGGAATGCTCTAGGAGTGGCTGTTGATGCTTCAAGGGCTGTAAAATGCGCCAGCTACACTTAGTCTTCTTGGGATGCAATTGTTCAGGCCCCACCAGGCGTATGCACAGGCATACATCGACGACAACTTCGTCCACAGTCGTGCGGGCACGGGAGGACGGATTTAGAGAACCACATCGTCCATTTGAGAGCGGTGCTCGAGTGCATGCGCACGAATTATCTGTATGCTAATGCAGATGATTGCATCATCGGCGTGGAAAATAATTTCTTTTTAGTGTGCTTCATCGGTAAGTGTGGCATTCGAGCGTATCCCGCTAAGGTCAAGGCCATTGTGGAATCTCATCACGGATTATGTTGGGACACCAAGCATCGGGAGGCTTTTGACAGGGGCAAATACAGCCTCCTTCATACACCAATAGTTGCGTTGCCAGACCCCGATCGTCCTTTCAGTGTCGTCTGTGACGCTTCGGACGTTTCCATCGGCTGTGCACTGCTGCAAGCAAACGCCGAGGGGCGAGGTTGGGTGATCGCGTTGGAATCTGGCCAGCTTAAGGCTGCGGAGTCGAAGTACCCAGCCTACGACAAGGATTTACTTGCGATGAAGTATGCACTTGTCAAGTCCAGAGTGCACCTGCTTGGCTCAAAGCCATTCGTGATCTACCCAGTTGATGTGTTATTACGCAGTTGTCTTACCTCTCGCAAAGGATGGGCCAGGTGGCTTTCATTCTTTGCAGAATATAACTTCGAGGTGAAACACTAACCATGAAAGCAGAATGCTTTGGCTGATGCGTTGTCATGCAGACCGGACTATGAGCTTGCTCATATCATGACGGTGACGTCGTCAGTGACGGATTTGATCTGCGCCGCATACGAGGTGACAGTATGTGTGCGGCGATGCTACAGGCTCTCGGGAGCAAGGAGTTTGAAAACTTGGAAAATAAATTGTCGGCGCCTTTGCGCGCACGGTTACACCGACTTTCGTTGGATAACGGGTTGCTGTATTATGCCGCGGATTCAACGAATACGCCATGAATTATGGCTCCTCACGATACTTTATATGAGGCTCACGAAACCCCACTTAGTGGTGATCTCGGTCGTGAGAAGACATACAGCTTGGTGATTTGCATAAGCTGTACATGTTGAAAAGCATATATGTGCCCATGTGTAATACGTGTCAGAGAATGAAACACGCCCCGAATGCGGCTGTACCGCTGGGTCAGCTTACCGGTACCCTCCGGGGATTGGTGGTTCACGAATACAGACTTTGCGTTTGGCCTCCCAAAGGACCTGGTAGGCAACACGGGTGTGGTGGTCTTTGTGGACCGTTTGGGCAAGATGGTTTTCTTACGGCAGTGCCGAAC